GGTTGGCTATACCAATGTCAGACAAAATAGATTTTAAATCAAAACTGTCTCCAGAGACAAAGATCCTTCTATTACATTTTTACAACATGATATATAACAATGATACATAATATATATATATATAATATCCAACCTCAGAGCACCCAAGTATATAAGACAATTATTGATCTACTTTACTGAAGAAATTGATAGCAATACAATAATAGAATACTTCAACAGCTCACTTTAAATAACAGAAAATCCAGATTGAAAAATCAATAAATAATGGACTTGGACAACATCGTATACCTAATAGACTTAAATATAATGCAAATTTTCACCAGTATAATTCTTTACACATTCTTCTCAAGTACACACAGAACATTCTCCAGCACAGATCATGTGCTAGATCATAAAATAATTTAAGAAGATTAATGTCATTCCAAGTTTCTCTTCTGACCACAATGAAATGAAACTGGAAACCAATAAGAGCAAGAAGTTCACAAACATATGTAAACTAATTTGTACATGAGCAGCCACTAGGTAAAAGAGGTGATCAAAATGGAATTGAAAAAAAATCTCTCACTGGATGAAATAAAAAATAAATACTACCAAAACGTATGGGACGCCTATATTGAAATAAAGATCTCAAATAAGCAACCTAAGTTTACACCTCAGGGAACTAGAAGAAGAAAAAACTAAATCCAGTGGAAGGCAGGAAATAAAATGTCAACATAAATAAAGAGAGAACAGAAAAAAATAGGAAAATAATTAGCACACATGGAGTTGAGTTTTGAGAATATAGGTCCTTAGCCACACAAACAAATAAAAAAGTAAAAAGACTTAAATAAAATAAAAAATGAAAGAAGAGACATTGAAAAGCTTGCTTCAGAAGTGGAAAGGTTCATACGGGACTATTATAAACAATTATATGGCAAAAGACTGGATAACATAAAAATAATGAATATATTTTTAAAAAGATTTATTTTATTTATTTGAAAGAGTTACAGAGAAAAAGGGGGAGAGAGAGAATAAGAGATCTTCCATCATCTGGTTCACACCCCAAGATGGCTGCAACAGCAGCTCTGGGCCAGGCTGAAGTCAGGAGCCAGGAGCTTCATCCAGGTTTCCCACATGGGTAGCAGGGGCCAAACACTTGGGCCATTTTCCACTGCTTTCCCCAGGCCATTAGCAGGGAGCTGGATCAGAGTGGAGTGGCCAGGACATGAACCAGAGCCCATGTGGGATGCTGGCATCACAGATAGACTTGCCCACTACACCACAAAACTGGCCCCAGTGATTAAATTTCTATAAAATTACAACCTGCCAAGACTGAATCAAAAGAAATAGAATTGTGATTGTTTGGATGCAAACTATTGGATGTGGTTTTATTGAGCATTGTCAAATTTGTAAGCTTCGTAGGGATGGACATCACATTTATAATGCCCTTCTATATGTGCTACCATAGATGTGAAATTCTTGACCTTAATATTGTCCTCGAAAATGTTAAATTGAGAATTCTGCTAACTTACAGTTTATGAGTTGGCCCACTGTATTACTGCAAGAAATGTTTGATTTTCGGCACAGTGCAAAGGTTCCTTAACTGCATATGTCTTTTTTTTCTAATTCTATTTTTCTTTTTTTTGACAGGCAGAGTGGACAGTGAGAGAGAGACAGGGAGAAAGGTCTTCCTTTACCGTTGATTAACCCAACAATGGCCGCTGTGGCCGGTGCACTGCACTGATCCGAAGCCAGGAGCCTGGTCTCCCATGGGGTGCAGGGCCCAAGGACTTGGGCCATCCTCCATTGCACTCCCAGGCCAGAGCAGAGAGCTGGACTGGAAGAGGGGCAACCTGGACAGAATCCAGTGCCCCGACTGGGACTTGAACCCAGTGTGCCGGCGCCGCAGGCAGAGGATTAGCCTATTGAGCTACAGCGCCGGCTTCTAATTCTATTTTTTAAAACACATTTTAAATGTACTTTCTCATTTAGTAAAAATTGTCTAATTGATATGAAAAAAAATAGAAGCCAGAACAGACTAATAACAAATAAAGAGATCACAGCAGTAATCAAAAACTTCTCAACAATGATAAGCCTAGGACCAGATGGCTTCAGCATGAATTCTACCTGACTAGAAAAAATTAACACCAATCCTTGTTAAACTTTTCCAAAAATATGAGGGATTATCTCCAAACTCTGTCTATGAGGCTAGCATCAGTCTGAGATGAGAGCCAAATAAAGACATCACAAGAAAATAAAACTACAGGCCAATATGTCTAATGACTACAGAAGCAAAAAATACTGACGGGGTGGGGTGGGGCGGGGGGGAGGTGTGGCGCTGTAGTGCAGCGGGTTAAAGCCCTGGCCTGAAGTGCCGGCATCCCATATGGGCGCTGGTTCTAGTCCCAGCTGCTCCTCTTTCATTCCAGCTCTCTGTTGTGGCCTTGGATAGCAGTAGAAGATGGCTTAAGTCCTTGGGCCCCTGCACCCATGTGGGAGACCAGGAAGAAGCTCCTGGCTCCTGGCTTCAGATAGGCGCAGCTCTGGCTGTTGTGGCCATCTGGGGAGTGAACCAGTAGATGGAAAACCTCTTTCTTACTACCTCTCTCTGAAACTCTTTCAAATAATAAATAAATCTTTAAAAAATACTGAGGAATAAAATATTGGCAAACTAATTCATCATCAAAAATATTATATATTGTTACAAAATGGGAGTTATCCCACGGATGCAAGGCTAGTGTAACATACTGAAAATAATCAATTTGATACACCATATTAAAAGAATTGAAGATCATCTCAATAGATATCAAAATGCATTTGACAAAGATCAACATCACTTCATGGTAAAAATAAAAACTTTCAACAAAACAGAAGCTAACTTCCTCAACATGATAAAGTCCACTTCTGAAAGACTCACTGCTAATATAAGCAATGAGAGAAAATAGAAATATTTTGCTCTAGGACTGGGGTCCACCAGGATGAAGCATGCTCTTGTGGTTCCTGCGCAGTGCTGGAAACACCGGCAAGAGCAACCTGATGAGAGAAAGAAGCTGCAGGCACAGCAGTCGGAAAAGGAGGAGGTAAAATTACTTCTCCTCGCAACTGACATGAATCCACATGTAGGAAATTCTAAAGATTCCATACAAGCACTAACGTATGGATTCAGTAAAGTTACAGCATACAAAATACACTGAAAAAAGTCAACTGCATGTCTATATACATTTCAAATAGCAACCTATCTGAAGAAGAAATCATATAATAGCATTAAGAATAAAGTATTTAGGAATGAATTTAACCAAGGAAGCAAAACATCTACACACTGAAACTATGATACATTAATAAGAGAAATTCAAGAAGATAAAAATAAACGAAAATATATTCCATGTTTGTAGTCTGGAAGAATTAATATTGCTAAAATGTTCATACTACCCACAGTGATATACACATTCAATGAAATCACTATCAAATTGCAATGGTATTTTTCACAGAAATAGAGAAAGATTCTGAAATTCATACAGAACCACAAAAGACCTCTAATAGCTAAACAACCATGAGAAAGAAAAAACAAGCCTGGAGACACCACACTTCCTAATTTCAAGTTATGTTACAAAGCTGTGGCAGTCAAAAGTATTGGTTCTGGCATGAAAATGGACTCATACAGACCAACAGAACAGAACAGGGACCCCAGAAATAAACCAAGTATATACCGGCAGTAAATTTTTGAAAAGCCCATCAAGATGGTACACAGGGAAAGGATCGTCTCTTCAATAAATGGCTTTGGCAAGCTGGATATCTATGTGCAAAAGGGTTAATTTAGACCTGTATGTTATCTACACCCCAAAATTGGCTCAAAAATGGATTAAAGACCTAAATATGTGGCCTGAAACTACAAAACTGCTAGAAGAAAACTCAGGGGGGGAATCTCCTTGACTTTGGCCTTGTCAATCATTAGTTGGATATCCTCTCAAAAGCTGGGTAACACAAATAAAGAAGGGCTACTTCTTTCTCTTTTTCTCTCTTTCTCTGTAATCCTGCCTTCCAAATAAGTAAATTTAAATAAAAAAAAAACAACAACAACAAGAAAAATGAGGGGCCCACGCTGTGTCATAGCAGGTAAAGCTGCCAGCTGCATCCAATATAGGTACTGGTTCAAATCCCTGCTACTCCACTTCTGATCCAGCTTCCTGCTAATGCACCTGAGAAAGCAGTGAGGGATGGCCTCCTGCAGCTGCATGGGAGACCTGGAAAGAAGCTCCTGGCTCCTGGCTTTGGCCTGGTCCAGCTCCAGCCATTTATGTCATTTGGGGAGTGAACCAGCAGAAGGAAGATCTCACTCTCTATCTGTAACTCTGCCTTTCAAATAAATAAATCTCTCTCTCTCTCTCTCTTTTTTTTTTTTGACAGGCAGAGTGGACAGTGAGAGAGAGACAGTGAGAAAGGTCTTCCTTTGCCGTTGGTTCACACTCCAATGGCCGCTGCACCGCACTGATCCGATGGCAGGAGCCAGGTACTTATCCTGGTCTCCCATGGGGTGCAGGACCCAAGCACTTGGGCCATCCTCCACTGCACTCCCTGGCCACAGCAGAGAGCTGGCCTGGAAGAGGGGCAACCGGGACAGAATCCGGCGCCCCGACCGGGACTAGAACCCGGTGTGCCGGCGCCGCTAGGCGGAGGATTAGCCTATTGAGCCGCGGCGCCGGCCTCAAATAAATCTTAAAAAAAAAAAAAAAAGGAATCTGGGTATATGTTTCTCAAATAAAGTTTATAGAGAACAAAATTAAAAGGCTTCTAAACAAAGGTCAGGGTCAGATATTTGTATTGGGTGGTGGGTTCGTGGATAATTATTATTAATTATTATGAATTATCAACGAGTAGATAAATTATAAATAAATAATCAATGAGTCAAAAACACAGTCATGAGAGTTTGTCACGAACGAAGGTTAATGGAGAATCCAATTCATTCAAATCAATTAAGCATTTATATTGAGAGTTTTTTGTTTTTGTTTTTGTTTTTTGCTTACCAATCAAAAAGGCAAAAGCGAGCCGTCCGACACGCACCATGTCTGCCAGAGTGTGGGAAACGGGGCTCCCGCAGCTGCGTCAGCACCGCAGGCAGGTCCAGCGGCTTCCCTGGGGACGGCCAGAGGGGTCCCGGGCTTTCCCTCTGCCAGCAGCAGGCGCTGAGCCGGGGGCGGGAGGGGGGTCGCACACAAGTACATCCAGGAGCTACGAGAAAGCAGCAGTTGGATACAAGGCCCTTATCTCTGAGGGTCTGTGGTGGAATGAGAAGGCCATGCCAAGATGGCCGCTGGCAAGAGAGCGTCAGTTACTAGGAATGGCTTCCGACACCCCCTGGGAAACCACCCAGCAATGGAGCCTGCCTGGCAACGGGCTGTGATTGGATGGCTGTGGAAACCACCTGGCAACGGAGCCTGCCTGGCAACGGGTTGTGATTGGATGGCTTTGGAAACCACCTGGCAACGGAGCCTGCCTGGCAACGGGCTGTGATTGGTTAGGGCAAAGACCGCCCCTTGACCGGATTGGCTGCCTTGGCTATTTAAGCTGCTGTACCAGCTGCAGGCAGCTCGCCTCTGGCGCGCTTTCAGGTGACTCCCGGGGTCTGTGTGGTGACTCCACACCTTTTGCCCCCATCGCACTCCTCCTCTCAACGAATCCACAGTAACAAGGGTCGACTCCACAGAGCTCCCTGCCCTACTCGGCCTGACCATGCACGTGGACTGAGACACCAAGCCAGGCCAGGCTAGGCCAGATGCAGGATTTGTGCCACTGTAAGAGACTGAGAGCCCTGAAATTCTTACTGGGTTTGGGAAGGTTCCACATACAAGAGATTATCTTCATTCATCCCTTCCATAGGCTACCAGAAGCAATCCCGACACCCAGTGGATCACCAGCCCAGCCCACAACTCAGAGGTGGGTGGGCTGACATCTGTAGGCTTCGCGAATCATGGCCTTGCACCGGCCCACGGGGCCCCTCCCTGCCGCGGCACTGCGGCTGGCTCTTGCTGTGCAGCCTGGACTTAAAGTACAATAACGTTTGAAGGCTTACGTGGTGCAGTGTCTTGTTTCTAATAAGGCAGACTTTGTCTTTACCTTATTAGAGAGTTATAGATCTGCGTTTAAAACATGCTGTGTGATGATAGGTGTAAAAGAAATTCTTCAAAAGATTTTTTAAAAAGTTAAAAAGAGAAAGGTCATGAGATGGGGACCCCAGCTGCAGTCAGAGTGAAGGGCGGGGGGGAGGAGAGAATTAAGGGGAGAGCTTCCAGTGGATCAAAACGATTCCACCTACCTTAGGGTTCCAGACGGAAGCCTGGGGACACGGACAGCAATATGACCTCGTATGACCTCCGTATGCGGATATGGCGAGAAGGCAGCCACTCCCAATCCAAGGAGAGAGCTCACGGGAAATCAACCCTGCCCGCAACTTGATATTGAGTTTCGAGTCTCCAAAGCTGTGAGAAAACAACTTTCTGTTAGTTAAGCCCTCCACTCTGGTATTTTGTTCTGTGTTCCCCCTACTCACTGACTGATGTAAACTGTAGCCATTTTTACACCTAATCCCACAGAAATAGATGGCTTTGGAGTTAAACGGCTGAATGTGTTAGGGAAAGAGAAGAGAGCGCCACCAAACCACCACCGTCCCACACAGGGTGACTGTGGAGCACCCAGAGCCCTGTCTCCCGGAGCAGGAACAGCAGAGCCTTCACGGTAATGGAAAGAAAACAGATTTAGCTAAACAATCCAGTCTGTCACAGAGCAGATAATAACAATAACAATAACAATAACAAGCCTCTCAGGAATGGGAGGGATCAAATACCTGCAGTCGATCACACCGAACTGCAAAAGCAAGGTTTATTCGGGAGTACAAGCTGCGACAGGGACCCCATCCAACCAGCCAGCCAGCGGAGGCAGGAGTGAGGCCCCGTCTTTGGGAGAGAAAAATGGCTACATCAGCAGGAAAAAGTTACATACAGCACAGAAGCTCTGGGTGCAGGGAGTTGAGTTACGGGGGGCTTACAGCAGGGAAGCTCTGGGCGCAGGGAGTTACTTTGTTTAGTAATCTCTGCTGTGCTGTCCTTGGTCTTCAGAGCTGGCTGTCCCTGGTAAGCTTTGCTATCTCCGGAATGCCTGAATGCCTGCTTTTACAAGGACCCAGGTCTGCTATGGGAAATGGAGGCTGCTTTTTTGTTTTGTTTTGTTTTAAAATGGAGTCATTTTGGCTCTTCAGTGTCAACTGGTATGTTCAGTTTTCCAACATAAATATTTGTGAAAATACAAGGCATGCAAAGAAACACGGGAGATATGAGTCACACACTGGGAAAAGAAGAGGAACAAAAGATACTGCCTGTGACAGTGACTGTAAGTCCGATTCATCAGGGGAAACAATACTTCAAAGTAGCAATTACTAGTATGTTCACAGAGCTAAAAGTCACCATGGTTAAAATGTAAGGGAACAGGTATTGGCAGTGTTGCATCAAATAGAAATTATCAGCAGAGACAGAAACTTCAAAAAGGACAAAATGAAATTCTGGAGTTGAAAAGCACACTTAATGAAATAAAAAATTGACTACACGTTCTCAATAGTAGACTTGAACTGGGAGAAGGAACAAGCAAATTTGAGGATAGATCAATTGAGATTATGAATGCCAAAGAACAAACAGTGAAGTTTATGAGGGAGATAAACAGAGCCTTGGAAACATGTGAGAGACCATACACACTGTCGAGGAGATGAACTTGAGAAGGTGAAGTTATCACGTTCCCTGCCTTTTGTCTCGTATCTCTATGGTAACTGGTGTCATGGTAACCGGCAGGTCCATCCGCCTGGCAGGCTGCCCACCATCTGTTATGTAATGGTTTGGCTCTGGGCCACTACTGTCTAAACCCACATAAGCAGCTGGGCGGCATGGCTAGATGTGGCTGTGCGGCTGTGTGTCGGTGTCTGTGTGTGTGTCTGGACACAAAGGTGGCTATCTCCTGTGGGCTCACCGCAGTTGGGGGCAAGTGGCTGTCCCTTGTGATTTTCTCACCACCACTGTGAGTAAAGGAGATACAAATGGACAAATGGCTCCGAGTTCTTCTCTGCCCTGTTGGAATCTGGATCTGCTTGTACTGGGTCCCAAGCCCCAGGCATACACATGTAATGATAGTACTGAGAAAGGAGAGATAAAAGAACAAGAATTTAAAAAAATTATAAAGGCTAAAAACTTTCCAAGCTGGTGCTGTGGTATAGCAGGTGAGGCCACTGCCTGGGGTGCCAGTATCCCATATGGGTACCAGTTCTAGTCCCAGCTGCTCCACTTCCAATCCAGTTCTCTGCTATGGCCTGGGAAAGCAGTGGAATATGGCCCAGGTCCTTGCACCTTTGTGGGGTACCCGGAGGAAGCTCCTGTCTCCTGGCTTTGGATCAGCGCAGCTCTGCCCATTGCAGCCATTTGGGGAGTGAACCAGCGGATGGAAGACCTCTCTGCCTCTCTGTAAATCTGCCTTTCAAATAAATAAATAAATAAATAAATCTTAAAAAAATCTTTCCAAATATGTTGAAAACCAATACATACAGAAAGCTCAATGAAATCCATGCAGGATTAAGTTCAAAGGGATCCACAGAGGCATCATAGTTTAAAAAAAAAAAAGCTGAAAATCAAAGACATGAGCACATTTGGAAAGTAAGAGAAGAATGATGCATTTACCAGGAAAACTGCCCTAAGATCTACAGCTGACATCTCAACAGACACAATGCAGGTCACAAAACGGTTAGGATAATGTATTCAAAATGCTCAAAGCACGAAAGAACCCATCAACCAAGCAGTAGTCCTAACTGTATATACCTTATGCTACATCTATAATGCAGTAAAGCTTTATTTCAGCAATAAAGGCAGCAGTGGGCATTTAGCTTGGCAGTGGGATTTAGCCCGTGCCCATGTTCCACGTCTGAGCACTTGAATTTGATTCCCAGTTTCAGCTCCAGACTCCAGGTTCCTGCAAATGCAGATCCTGCACATCAGTAGTGATGGCTCAAGTACTTGGATCGCTGCCACCCACTGGGAAGACCTGGATTGAGTTTCCGGCTCCCGGCTTCAGCCCCAGCCTAGCCTCGGCTATTGCGGACTTCTGGAGAGTGAACCAGTGAGAGAAGTGTTTCTCCCTCTCCCTCTCCCTCTCCCTCTCCCTCTCCCTCTCCCTCTCCCTCTCCCCCTCCCTCTCTCCCTCTCTCCTTCCCCTTCTCATTCCCTCCCTCTCTCTTTCCCCACCTCTGAAATAAATTAAGTTAAAGACCTGCCACGTTTAAACAACAACAACAAAAAAAACCCGAGATGTGTTGTTGATGACCTGCCTTACGAGGAACACTAGCAGTAATTCTTCAGGCTGAAACCACATGACTCCAGGCTGTATTCAAGTCCCCACGGGAAGACAAAGAGCACAGGAAAGATAGAGAGATCCTACCCACTGGTTTACTTCCCAAATGCTCAGAACAGACAGAGCTGGGCCAGGCCAACAATGGGCGCCCAGAAATCAATCCAGGACTCCCCCATGGGTGCCAGGGCCCCAAGAACTTGAGCCATCACCTGCTGCCTCCCAGGGTGCACATAAGCAGGAAGCTGGAATAGGAGTGGAGCAAGGATTTGAACCCAGGCACTTCCATATGGGATGCGAGTTTGCTATTAAGAGTCTCAAGCAGCATCTTAATAGCAATGCCAAACACATGGCCCTGGATTTTGGTAAGAGTGCTAAGACTGTTCAATGGGGAAAAATCTTTTCAACAAATAGTTCTGGGACAACTAACAGTCACAGGAAAAAGAATGAAGTTTGATTCGTATCTTGCACCATTTATAAAAATTCATTCAAAGTAGATCAATGATCTAAATGTGAGAGTTAAAACTGTAAAACTCGTAGAAGAAAATGTAAGAGTAAACCTTCATGACTTTGGAGTGGGCAAAATATTCTCAGGTATGACAACAAAGCACAAATAAAAGAAAAAATAGACAGACTGTATCAGAATGAAAAACTTTCTAACTTCAAAGGCTATCATAAAGAAATTGAAAGGTGGGGCTGGCATTGTGGCACAGTGGGTGTGATGCAGGCATCCCATATGGACACCAGTTCAAGTCCTGGCTTCTTCACTTCTGATCCAGCTCCCTGTTCATGGCCTGGGAAAAGCAGAAGAGGATGGACCAAGTGTTTGGGCCCCTGATACCCATATGGGAGACCCTGATGGAGTTCCTCTCTTCTGGCTTTGGCCTGGCCCAGCCCTGGCTGTCGTGGGCATTTGGAGAGTGAACCAGTAGATGGAAGATCTGCCTCCCTCTCTTGGTCACTGTGCCTTTCAAATAAATAAGCAAACCCTTTTTAAATAGACAAAAGATTTGAATCAGTATTTCTCCAAAGACATACAAATGGCCAATTAGCACACGAAAAGATGTTGGGCAGCATTAATCATCAGGGAAATTCAAATAAAAACCAGAATGATATACTATTTCACCCTCACTATGATGGCTAGAATCAAAAGCCAAATAGGGACCACATTGTAGCTTAGTGGGTTAAACTGTTGCCTGCAATGCTGGCATTCCATAAGGGTACCAGTTTGAGTCCCAGTTGCTCCACCTCCAATCCAGCTCCCTGCTAATGCGCCTTGGAAGGCAGCAGATGGTGACCCTAGTCCTCGGCCCCTGACACCCATGGGAGACCCAGATGAATCTCTTGGCTCTTGGTGTCAACCTGGCCCATCCCTGGTTGTTGTGGCCATCTGGGGAGTGAACCAACAGCAGCTCTGTCTTTCCTTCTCTCTCTGTAACTCTGCCTTTCAGATAAAGAAATATTTTTTAAAAGCCAAATAACAGCAAGTGTTGGTGAGAACATGCAGAAATTAGAACCTTCAGCATTGTTGGTGGGAATGCGAAATGGTGCAGCAACTTAGGAAAGCAGTCTTTTAGTTCCTCAAACTCTTAAATACAAAGCTACCATACAACCCAGCAATTGGCTCAAGGCACATCCCCAAGAGAACTGAAAGTCTATCCACATCAAAACTCACACCTGAGTGTGGCGTTATTCAGAAGGGCCAAAAAGTGGAAAGAACCCACTTGCCCATCGGCTGATGAATGGATAAACAAACGTGGTGTATGCAAGTAATGGAATATTATTTGGTCATAAAAACATGCATGCTAAACATGGATGAACTTTGAAAGCATTATGCTAAGTGTTACATGATTCCATTCATGTGAATTGTCCACATAAGCAAAGTCATAGAGGCAGAAAGTAGATTGGGACTGCCTGGGGCTTGGGAATTGGAGAGGAGCAGCTGGTAATGGAATATTAAATCTCTAAATATAAAAGTAAAATATATAAAATATAAATATATAAATATAGCCTAAATATTTCATATAAATATATAAATAAAAATATAAATCTCTAAATATAGAAATCTCTAAATCTTGCCCTGGTGATGGTTTTATATATGCATGACTCTGATACAAACCACCAAATTGTATTCTTTAAGTGTGGAAGTGATATTGTTATAGGAACGATACCACAAAGCTATAAAAAGGAAAACAAAAAATTTAACAATAAAAATGGGGCACAAATACAGATCTAAAATATTAAAGAACAGCAAAGGACAAACAAACCTTTCCAGGAAGAAAACTGCAGATCCAAATGGTCTTACTGGTGCGTTCTATCAATATAAAAGACAGACATTTCATCAGTGTGACGCATACTCTTTGAGGTCATGGAGAAGGTAATTTTTCCTAACTCATTCTAGGTGACCACCAAAATCCTAATGCCAAGAAAAGAATACAACTACCAGAAATAAAAGGTGAATTTAGCAAGGTACCAGCGTAATACATCTACATATATATTTATGATATATATATATATGTGTGTGTACACACACATGCACACAAGTATTGTATACACGAGTACTAAAAATATATCCATGCATGAGAGAGCTTCAAAAAGTTCATCATCCGAGTCCCTGGCTTCACATCCTGGCTCCACGTTTGAGCCCAACTTCCTGTTGATGCACATCTTGGGAGGCAGCAGGGACTTGGGTCCCTGTCACCCACATGGGAAACCTGATTGAATTCTGGGCTTCCGGCTTGGCCTGGTCCAACTCTGGCGGCCATGAGCATTTGGAGAGTGAACCAGCAGAGAGAGGATGTCTGTCAGGGGCTGGGGCAGTGGCACAGCGGGTTAAAGCCCTGGCCTGAAGTGCTGGCATTGCATACGGGTGCTGGTTCTAGTCCCAGCTGTTTCTCTTCTGATCTAGCTCTCTGCTATGGCCTGGGAAAGCAGTAGAAGATGGTCCAAGTCCTTGGGCCCCTGCACCCATGTGGGAGACCTGGAAGAAGCTCCTGGCTCCTGGCTTCGGATTGGCGCAGCTCCGGCCATTGTGGCCACTTAGGGAGTGAATCAGTGGATGGAAAATCTCTGTCTCTACCTCTCCCTGTAACTCTGTCTTTCAAAATAAATAAAATATATAATAAAATAAATTCAAAATAAATAAAATAAGATAAATCTTGAAAAAAAAAGATGTCTGTCTCACCTTGTCTCCTTTTCAAACAAAAACTTTTTAAAAGGATGAAAAGTTCACAAAAATGTGTATTCTGAACAAAACATATATGGATTTCAAAAAATTTTTGTGTCAAATTCAACTTATTTTAATTTTTCTGTGAAATTTTGAAGTGCCCTCATACATACACACACATATATATGTACTTTCTGTGTATTACCAATGACCTACTCAACAATAAAATTTAAAACCACTTAAAGAACATTTCCAAATCCCATAAAATATGAGAGGATAAACTAGCACAAAGTTGACCAAGACTCCACACAGAAAATCATAAAAGCAAGAGCGAACTTCCTCCCTTAAGGGCCGGATAATAAATAACACAGGCCTTGGAGGTCACACTGCACTGATCTCTCAACATATTCTTTGGATTCCTGTTGGTTTTTTTAAACTTTCTTTACAACCCTTTAAACATACTAATCTCCTTTTTCATTTATTGACCTTACAAAATCAGGCTAAGTTCCAAATGGCTCATGGGTTACATAATTTGCTATTACTGCAAAGCGTTGCTGAGAGAAAAGGTAAAAGACCCAGCTGTATGGAGATGTGTGAGATACACCCCATGTGGTGCGCGGAAGAAGCTAATATTGGCAAAACATCAATTTGGGCCAGGACACTAAAATCCAGCCAACAAAAATTGTCACCAGAGACATCGGTGCCCTTGGTGACACCAGGGTTTTAAGCCAGGTGGATCCTGCACCCCGCGGATGTGCCATCTCCTGTCGTTACACAGGTGACAGGTGGTTGGCTGTATGGGTCAGCTTGAAGGGAAACAGCCTGTGGTTGGGCTGACAACCCAGTTGTGGCCCATGGTCTGCTTAGCAGCCGAGCCAAACACGGCCTCCCAGCAGGCAGTGCCTGTGCCCACTACAGGGTGCCTGGTGCACAGTATCCCGAAGACCATAGAAAGCATCAATTCACGACGCGTCCATGACACAGGGAGACACCGTGGCTCAAACGGTTATATTCGGGAGCTCTGGAGTCTGAGCGCCTGGGACAAGAAGTCCTTTTAGGGCCACTACCAGCTGTCAGGCCGGGGGAAGGGTTCTAAGGCTCACACGCCTTTTTAAAAAGCAAACTTGCAGCGAGCAGTGAAGAGAACCCGCCTGCCAGCCCGGGATGTGGTCAGCAGCCCCTCTCCCCTGCCCCACCCCCTTCCCGTAGTCCAGCTCCTCTCCCGGGAGAATCAAGGTTGCTCCCGCCTCTCTGCCTTCGGGTAGGGTCTTCGTGACAAGGGCTGGCCGACTCACAGGCAGAGGTGGCGGACGCTCCTGCCCCCGGGGGCCGGTGCTGGGCGAGCCCCTGCAGACCTGGTCGGTCGCCACCTACGGCGGGGGCCCGCTCGGTGCCAAACGCCCGCCACCAAGCGAGAGCAGGCGCGAAGCGCGCGAGGCCAGCAGGGGTTGGGCCGTTGGACCTCGCCCTTGGGCCTCCGTTGCGATGTCTTCGCGCCCTTGGCTCACGCACCCTTCCCTCACCCGCCTGGGGCTGAGCGCTATGCCTCGCCTCCGAGTTGGCAGCCAGGACACCGCTCTGAGGTTCCGGACTCCGCGCCAAGGGACCCCACGGCGCACGCAGCTGCTGTCCACGGGCAACGGCCTCGGCGAGCTTCATACCCGCCTCCCGGGGCCACCGCGCTCCAGGTCCCCCTGACTGGCCATGCCCACCCGACTTAGCTTAGCTGTCTCGCTGCTTAGCTTATGCGATCCAGGAGGCTCCAAGCTCCTCAGTGTTGGGCAGGACTCTCAGATAGAGCCAGCACTGGGCACTGGGAACTCCAAGAGGCTCGGCCATTCCGGACAGCTAAGATCTGTCATCCAGGGTGCAACCTGACCCTCCTCCATCACCACCCCGGCGAGAAAGAAGTTCCCCCTATGAGCTCCGTTCCATCCAGAGAACCTAGATGCCGGCCCCAAGAAGACTGAGCGAGCCCTGGGGAGGAGGAAGGGACAGCCGAAGATGGAGGACGGCCAAATAGTGACCCAAGCGTAGAAGCGCCCATCACATGCAGGCAATGGAGTGTGCCATCAGCATCGTCTGGGGAAGCGACCCGATGCTTTTTCCTTGCTCTGGGGGCCTGGGCCTCTGCAGGAAACCTGCATTCCTTCCAACCACCCGGGAGCCACCGGGAGTAAGAAGGCGAAGTTTTCCCCTGTGAGCTCAGGCGTCAGAAGTCGTGCCTTCCCCAGCTCATGGAGCCGGCCCTGCTGGGGGGCTCCTGCCTCTTGTTGTTGTTGTTGTTGTTTTTGACAGGCAGAGTTAGATAGTGAGAGAGAGAGAGAGAAAGGTCTTCCTTCCGTTGGTTCACCCCCAAAGTGGCCGCTATGGCAGGCGCGCTGCGCTGATCTGAAGCCAGGAGCCAGGTGCTTCTCCTGGTCTCCCATGGGGTGCAGGGCCCAAGCACTTGAGCCATCCTCCACTGCACTCCTGGGCCACAGCAGAGAACTGGACTGGAAGAGGAGCAACCAGGACAGAATCCAGTGCCCCAACTGGTACTAGAACCCAGGGTGCCGGTGCCACAGGCGGAGGATTAGCCTAGTGAGCCGCGGCACCAGCCGGCTCCTGCCTCTTTAGGAGAGTGGTGCAGGGACTTTGGGATCCAGCCACAATGGGTTCAGAAAGTTTAGCCAAGGAAAAGTTCCTGAAGGCCATTGGCCTGGTTCTCCAACCCCACTGAAGACAGAGGAGAGGAAGGGAGGAAGGCTACAGATGTGCTGTCAAACAAAATCTCCACCCACTCCTGCCAGATGCGGGCTCTGTTAACAAAATTCCTCTGCCCCTGTACCAACCCCACGCCATATGCTGATCCTGAAATGATGGGATGAGACACTCAATCCTTATTTTTTTTTCTTTTTGTTGTTCTGGCCATTTCTTTCTTGAAGTTCAGTATTTTTTTTTAAGAATTCCACTTTCAAGTGGAAATAGAGCCCATTTCAATTCTGGTCTTTTCGCTATAAGTCTTTACTCTGATCTTCAAAGTATCTTACTGTCAGGAGAAATTAAAACTCGGATGTGTTCTGATGGACAACCGAAGACCAGAGGAGAAAGCAGCTGTTTCCGTTTCCTCCAAGTCTACCACCCGCAGGACTGAGTCCTCCACCCCTATGGATATGGAGTCCCTCTCTTTTCCTTACAGATTCCTTGAGTCGCTGCCACAAATTCCCGTCTTCACCAGCTGAGCTCAGCACTGGCCTCTGCGGTCACTGTCACCAGTGCAGCCAGACTCTGCTGCACAGAGTCTGTGGACTCGGCCAAGTGTGATTTGGTAAGCCACATGGAAGCCAATCCCCACTCACAGGCACCCACCTTCGGGTCTCCACGGTGACCCCGTGTGAGCTTCCCCCATTCGCCAGGGCCAGGCCAGCCGGAGCAGACACCCCCTACCAAGGCCACGTCTCCACCACTCCACCTGGTTTTATGCTCAGCAGCCCCAGCCAATTTTTAAAATATATTTTAAAGATTTACTCATTTGAAAGTCGAAGTTACACTAAGAAAGGGAGAGACAGAGCGAATGCGTGAGCTTCCATCCTCTGGTTCATTCCCCAGATGGCTGCAATGGCCCTAAGGCTGGGCCATACTGAGGCCAGGAGCCAAGAGCTTCTTCTAGGTCTCCCACATGGGTGGCAGGGGCCCAAGCTCCTGGGCCATCTTCTGTTGCTTTTCCCAAGTACATCAGCAGGGAGCTGGACGGGAAGTGGAGTAACGGGGACTCTGCCGTTGTCCATGTGGGATGCTGGCATCGTCGTCCCAGGAGGCAGCTTTATGTGCTACACCACAACACCAGCCCCTTCGTATTCTTTAACTCCTTATCCTCTTTGGGCCTACACTAGTACGTTATTGTTTTCAACAATAAGGAATGCAAGTGGCTTCTTGGTACCCCACTACCTTTCCCCAAACCTCTCCCGTCCATCCCAGAAAATCCTCGGAAGATGGCTTCTACTTCACCCTCAGGCATGAGCTCTCTGAAGGCGTCTGCTCTGAGCCTGGAACTTCTGACCTGGAACACGTGCGGCCTCCTCTCAGCTGGTCCTCAGAATAAAGCACAGATCCCACGTCTGTTAGATACAGCGAGGCGTAATTGGTGGTGGCCATATTGGTCCTGTGGTTGTTTGCGGAGAGGCTACTCTTCCCCTCCCTCGTCCTTCTGCGTCTGCCTGCAGGACGATGAGCCCCTCATGCCAGCACCTGAAAGGGTAGGCACGTGTCAGATGGAATGTCAGGGGCTGTGGCCAGGCCCCTTATTGTAGATAAGGGAAAACCAGGAAGCTTAGGCTAAATTAAAACAAAAATTAAAGAATGAAAACTCATCGTGGAAGAAAAGAGACAGAAAGTGAAGTCACTTGCCCCCAACCATTCAGCTTTTCCCACGAAAAGGTCATGCTGCTTAGGGCTCAGCCTAGTACTGCCGGATTTTAAAAGTGAACCAGGAGGTCGTGGGCTGTTCAAAGACGGGTGCATCCCGGCCACCGCACCGTTTTGTGACAAGAAGAAAGCAGGGGTTCCAGCCCCAGCCGCATCAGCCCCTAATGCATCTGCCCCAAGTCGCGGGCGACTTCCGCCCCAGCCAATTTTAAAACCTCCCTTTGAGCCAGGATCCACCCCTCGGCTGAAATCCTGGGGTCCTGATGGACAGCAACGGAGAGCTACTCCGCCCGGTGTCCTGTTTTCTGGCCCACCTGCCACAGATTCCACAGTCGCCTTCACTCGAGTAGGCAGCCGCTCTTCAGACTGCGAAGTCAGGGTTGGCTTTGACTCTGATGAAACCATTGTGGATATGCCACACCCATTTCCCAGTAGGCTGGCTTCGCACCTCCCCCTAAGAGCTTTTCCAGCTCGTTCCCTTTGGGTAACCTGGCAGGCTCTGCACAGTGCCCGTACCCAGTGACAGCTTAAATGGTTCTGCAATGACTCAAAGGCGAAACCATGAGCTGGAACAGAGGGGCTGACAAAGGCGATGGCGAGAAGCTGACAGAAAACGGAAGTAGGTGACTGAAACAGGACCAGAACCATCCTGGCCACTTGGTCTAAATAAACAGATTTGACTGGCTTTGCCAAAATACAGTAAATTTAGTTTTGTTTTTTTATTTGACAGATAGAGTTAGACAGTGAGAGAGAGAGAGACAGAGAGAAAGGTCTTCCTTTTTCCGTTGGTTCACCCCCAAAATGGCTGCTACGGCCGGCGCTACGCCGATCCAAAGCCAGGAGCCAGGTGCTTCCTCCCGGTCTCCCATGCAGGGGAAGGTGCCAAGCACTTGGGCCATCCTCCACTGCCTTCCTAGGCCACAGCAGAGAGCTGGACTGGAAGAGGAGCAACCAAGACTAGAACCCAGGACCCACATGGGATGCCGGTGCCGCAGGCGGAGGATTAACCAAGTGAGCCACGGCGCCTGCCCCAGTAAATTCAAGTTTCTAGTGAAACTCCAGATAACATGCAGAACACTGCTCAGGCACTCATTTATCCATTAGCCAACTTACTGAGTACCGAGGATGTGCTTGGGACAATTTTAAGTGCAGCATCGATTACAGAAAGGAAAACTTCCTGCCTTAATCGTGCCCTACATCCTAGTTGGAGGGGAGAGCACAAGCAAGGAACGTAATCAAAAGTAGATTACTTCATAGATCAGCAGTAACCAGTGCCGTAGAGAACAAAGCAACTCATGGGGAATTGAGTTTGGGGATGGGGAGAAGCATGGGTTTCAGGTTTCACACTGAATGGACAGGGCAAGCCTCACTAAGGTGAGATTTAAGTGAAGTCTAGAAGGCGGCAGTTGAGTGAGCCACAGAGTTAGTCAGTGGAAGGGCAATCCAGTCACGGCAAAGGCCTGAGGAGGGCCGCTTGGTGCCCTCAGGGAATGGTCCTTGAAGCCAACGGGGATGGAATGGAGTCGAGGAGAGGAGGGGGGCTCAGAGAGAGAACAGAGCAGAGGCTGTGCAGGCTTTGAAGGAAGCCAGGAGAAAGCTGCCCCTTCCTGAGAGACGGGGATGAGCGATGGGTAGCTGGGGGCGAGCCCTGAAGCGAGGAGAGCCATCAGGAGGCTGAGGCCGTGGTCCAGAGGAGGGATCATGGCGGACTCGGCGAGAGTGATGGGGACCCTCTCTGGCTGCTACAGTTTGACTGTGTCCTCCAGATTTCATGCATTGGACACACAGTCCCCTAAGTCATGTGTTCATGGTGTCTGACAGGTGCGTCATGGAGAGGTGCATGGGCCATGAGATTCTGCCTTCTTGAACGTCTTAATTCGCTCGTGGACTGAGGGAGCCAGGGACTGAGAGAGCCGTGGGCTCTCCAGGGAGGGACTTTGCAATAACAGCAAACTCTCTCTCTGACTTGCTCCATCTCGCCGCATGATGCCTGCCACCATGACACAGGGAAAAGGTCAGTTGGTGAGCAGTCGCCAGTGCACACTCTGGGCCTGCCCAGCCTCCAGACCTGGGAGTCAGACCAACCTCTGTTCCTCATAAATGACCCAGTCTGTGGTGCCCAGCCAGAGCAACAGAATCCCTGAAGTGACCACAGTTACTAAGCACAGAATCGGGTGGATAAATAGTGTTCCTCGTCCTCAGTGAGAAAAAATTCAGGTGCATTTCCTGCCTCTCAGAGGTAGCCTGTGTTCAAGCCCCAGTTTGCACGGGGTCTTTACTGGTGCTCCCACCACCCCTGTCTCCCATACCACAGATGGCCCAAGTGCTTGGGCCCCAGCACTCACATTAGAGACCCATATGGAGTTCTAGGCTCCTGGCTTCAGCCAGACCCAGCCTTGGCCACTGGGCCATTTGGGGAGTGAATCAGCAGATGGAAGATTCTCTCTCTCTCTCTTTCTCTAACTCTGCCTTTCAAATAAATAAATATTTTAAAAACAAATAGAATTAGATCACTCATCAATCCATCAGAGGACAAGGGCCCACTTGCTGGCTGCAGTCCAGGGTTGATTTCCCCCAATATGCTGCAGGATCACAGTTACTGGAACTCTTGCCCGTGGTGAATGAGATGAGCTACATATGTATGGGGGTAACAAAGGCTCTTGAACTTGAAAAATACATGAGCAATGGCAACTTTAAGGACTGTATAATTGGTTAGTTTTCTGTAACCTCCATAGAATACCTAAAGAAAACAAATGGTCAGACTTTAAAATAAATGAACTCTGAGAATGTTAGCAAAGCCAGAAAGCTCCCTTGTTTAAGGCATTCTCACCCTGCAGCAAGAGAGCAGGCTTCGCTGAAAACTAATGACGAGGTGCAGTTATAATGCAGTAGAGCTTCTGCACTCCTATTCTGCATTCAATTCACGGCCCTGGCAGGTCTGTCACACTGAAGTCAGCGCCTGATACGGAACGAGTTGCACCTTGAGATCTGGGATGTATTTCAGTGGATGCATTTGAAAATACTTGAGGGGCTGGCGCTGTGACGTAGTGGGTAAAGCTGCCAACCTGCAGTGCTGGCATCCCATATGGCCGCTGGTTCGAGTCCCGGCTGCTCCACTTCTGATCCAGCTCTCTGCTATGGCCTGGGAAAGCAGTAGAAGATGGCCCAAGTCCTTGGGCCCCTGCACCCATGTGGGAGACCCGGAAGAAGATCCTGGCTCCTGCTTCAGATCGCCACAGCTCCGGCCATTGTGGCCAACTGGGGAGTGAACCAGTGGATGGAAGACCTCTCTCTCTCTCTCTCTCTCTCTCTGCCTCTCCTTCTCTATATAACTCTGACTTTCAAATAAATAAATAATTCTAAAAAAGAAAAGAAAATATTTGCACTCCATGATACTGGGCTAACAGATGTGGTCACCACCTCCTTTTGGGAGGACAGGGGCCTCCCTTTATCTGGAGACCATCTAGAAGCCTCACCTAAGACAGAGGCTTCCCAAGATACTGAGGGTTCTTTCTGAGGACAGCTCATGCCTGCCTTACGAAGCAGAGTGGGAGAGTGTGGAAAACGGGAAGAATGTGTAGGTGAAAGAGGAGAGGAGGGAGGGAGAGAGAGGGAGAGAGAGAGAGAAGTGGGAGGGAGGCAGGAAGGGCAGGAGGGGGCGGGGAAGAGAGGGGAATGCTAGCTGCCAAGCACTGAGCAGTATAATTGGCACCACCACTGCCGGACATCCGGGTACAACAACATGGGGACCCGGCTGCTTACCGTGGCCTGATCAGGCTGAGCATCTTCATTTCCCCTTCGAATTTCCCCGTCACTCTCTGCAAAGTGCTATAAAGGAGCACGGCCCAGGTGACCCAATCTTGCTGATGCCTTCATCTCTATTAGTTTGTGCAGAGATGTTTTCCTCGACAGGAAAAGGACCGAAGCTGCCTCTCCCTGCGTCACTTTATGTCACGGTGTCATTTATTCTCCAATTCAGTGAGGACAGATCCGTGCAGGAACCATCACCGGTGCCAAACTGAAGATACAGCCAACGCAGGAGGGACCTGAGGTGCACCAGGAAGTCAGCTGGGAGATCATGAGTCATGTTTACACGTTCCCCAGATGTCCTGGGTGCTGGCATTACGCAGGTCTGTGAAGTTCCGCGGGTGAGAGTAACAGCACAGAGGACATTCCCGTTCCCCTCAGCACCTGTGAGTTTACCTTCAGCTTCAGATGAACACAGTATCTTATACACAACAGGCTCCTCCCTCCAGTGGCTGGATCTCTGAAAAAAGACTAAAATCCATTCAAATGCAATAATAAAAAAAATGTAGTGTCATCATTCAAACAGAAAAGGACGCATATTAAAAATACAAGGCGGGGCCGGCACTGTGGTGCAGTGGGCTAAGCCGCAGCCTGCAGGGCCAGCATCCCATATGGGTGCCAGTTCTAGACCTAGCTGCTCCACTTCTGATCCAGCTCCCTACTGATGTGCCTGGGAAAACTCCAGAAGATGGCCCAAGTCCTTGGGCCCCGCACCCATGCAGGAGACGTGGAAGAAGATCCTGGCTCCTGGCTTCGGATCAGTTTAGCTCCAGTTGTTGTGGCCATTTGAGGAGTGAACCAGCGGATGGAAGATCTCTCTCTCTCTCTCTCTTTCTCTCTCTCTTTCTCTCTGCCTCTCTGTAACTCTTTCAAATAAGTAAATCTTTTTTTTTTTAAATATTCCTTCTTGCATGAAGAAGTCTATATTAAATCCTTCAACTGATTGGATATGGTCCCACCCCAAATCATAAAGGCTAATGTGCTTTACTCAAAGACCATTGATTTCAACGTTAATCTTATCCGAAAAATGCCTTTGCAGAAGCAGCCAAAATATTATCTGGCCAATTACAAAATCAACATGAAGGGAGCAGGCAGCAAGCCCTCTCCCTGTAGTTTCCAGGTTAACGGAGTTCAGAGGGAGATGAGCAGTCTACACGTGCACAGCCGCTGTACCTGGGAAAGCCTGCAGAACACAGTGGATGGACACGCGTGCAGAGCTGGGAATCAATTCCAAGGCCGAAGCCTGCTGCTACCATCAAGCAGAATCCTATTCCGTCCTCAAATGTTATTGAGCTGACAACAGGAGACAGTGTGATGTGGGCTTAATAAAAGCTGGGTTGGAAGGCAAAGTGAATCTTACATTTGCCTGAATTCGGCTTTACTGCTACATAAACAAAAAGAACTACGCCGTAAAAGCTCCAGGCAATTCAGAGAAATGTTACTGGAAAAGTAATCAAGAAGAGTAAAAATCCTGTAATGCATGGTAGGACAGAAAGATACATGTCTTTTAAATTTAGGTAATAGTTGTTTAATTAGCCTGATTGTATTTATTTTCTTTTTCAAAGAAATCTTTTTTTTAATATTTTTCATTTATTCATTTGAGAGGTAGAGTTACAGAGAGAGGGAGAGACAGAGAAAGGGCTTCCATCTGCTGGTTCACTCCCCAGATGGCCGCAATGGCTGGAGCTGAACTGATCCAAAGCCAGGAGCCAGGAGCTTCTTCCGGGTCTCCCACATGGGTGCAGGGGCCCAAGGAGTTGGGCCATCTTCTACTGCTTTCCCAGGCCATAGCAGAGAGCTGGATCAGAAGTGGAGCAGCCAGGATTCAAACAGGTGTCCATATGAGATGCCAGCGCCAGCCCCTCAAGAAAAATCTTAAGACTACACAACACTATAGCCTATAATTGTATTTTTATTTTTTAAAGATTTATTTATTTACTTGAAAGTCAGAATTATACAGAGAGCAAAGGAGAGGCAGAGAGAGAGAGAGAGAGAGAGAGAAAGGTCTTCCATCCGCTGGTTCACTCCCCAGTTGGCCACAATGGCCGGAGCCACGCTGATCTGAAGCCAGGAGCCAGGAGCTTCTTCCAGGTCTCCCACGTGGGTGCAGGGGCCCAAGGACTTGGGCCATCTTCCTCTGCTTTCCCTAGCAGTGAGCTGGATTGGAAGTGGAGCAGCCGGGACTAGAACCGGCGTCCATATGGGATGCCGGCACTTCAGGCTAGGGCGTTAACCCGCTACGCCACAGCGTCGGCCCCTAGCCTATAATTTTAATATCTAATAAAAATTAAATCGCTTTATCAGAGGGCGGCTACATTTCCCTCACATGTTTAGTCTATTATTAGCAATACCAGGTTACTTTACGCCTATTAATATTTTATTGAATAATATAAGTTATTTTGAATAGCTACCATATTTTCACGTTAACGTCAGGACACATTTTAGTACCTATTACAGGATTTTTCGTTATCTCCCAGCTCCGGGTTCCACGGCCAGCGCTACCGGCGCTCCTGCGCCTGCGCACCTCCCAGTCCCCGGGGCGCCGGGTGGGCAGTCCTTGCGCTGCCATTTTACGCCTCTGGACTACATTTCCCAAAGGCCACTGAGGCCAGGCCAATTTAGCTTGGACTACATTTCCCAGAGGCCACCGGGGACAACTAGGACCCCGGATCCCACTGCCAGTTTTTCGTTACCGTAGCCGGGCAGCGAACTTAGGCTAAGGCAGTGCGTGTTCTCTGGGGAAAGGCTTTGCGGACTCCGACCAACCCCACGGGGTAACCAGGGCTTGAGTGAAGAAAACAACAATAATGGGAGGAACTGGGGGACCTCTGCGGACGTGGGCCGGCGCGGGACCTGGACCCTAACAGGCGGCGAGCGCGAGGGCAGGGAGGCTCCGTGGGCTCTGGCGGGGTCTCAGGCGCGGGGGTCGTTGCGTGCGCTCGTGCGCGTGCCCGCGAGGACTGGGTGCCCCTGCGTCCGTTAGCTGTGGAGGTGCCGCCGTGACCTAGGCCTCGGGCTCGGCTTCCAGCCGCCGCGCGGGTCCGCACCGGGCAGTGGGCCCGCGCCGGGGCGGTTACCAAGCCTTCCGGTGATGTTCTCCCGCAGGAGACGCAGAACTACGATTGCACGAGTTCTCTGTCGTGTGTGTGTGTGTTTATCCAGTCACTCCTGTATTTGAGAGAGCGAGGGAGACAGACAGGTCCCCCTTCCGCGGGCGCGCTCCCCAGATGCCCTCAACGGCCAGGTGTGGGCCAGGCCGGAGCCTGGAGCCCGCGCTGCCTCCCAGGGGTGCGCCAGCAGGGAGCCGGTCTGGGTGGCCTCGGGCTGCGGGATGCGGTGTCCCGGCACCGTGCTGACCGCTGCTGACCTTTCTGAGCCAGAGGGGTCTTCAGGGGACCTCCCCCGCGGAGACTGCGCCTCCTGCCAGGCTGGGAGCTTGGGGAAGCAGCGCCCGGCTCCCTTTCTCTCCCGTTGGTTCTGGATGTGAGGCTGTGCTGGGAATGGCCGTGCGCACGATCAGAGCTCAAGACCGTGCAGCTGGCTAGGTCAGGGACGCTCACGTGATGGACTGGTGGGCGGGGAATAGGGTTAGTCCTGAGAAGGGGTACCCGTGTGAGCCCGAGATGTGCACAGTTACGGGCAGTGGTAGTCAAGAAGTGTTTAAGTTCTTTAGGAATCCCATCTAAATATGAGATTTTCTAAGATATTTTGCAAGGTTCTTGTGGGCAATATTTTGGTTATTTAGTGAAGGAGAACAGGGGTTTGGCAAGTTTGTGAGCATCTTTTCCGTAGGCAAGATTCCGTCCACTTTGCATTCATTCTCTTAGTCTATAACCACCACTTAGCCAGAGTTATGTCTTCCAGAGAAGACTCTTGTTAGTGAATGAGCCTAATTATATTGATAAAGTACAATTAATGGATGTGCATATGAAATTTCTGAAGGCAGAGTTAATACAGACTTGTGAAAAAAATGAGTAACCTGAAGATAGAATAGTTATTTAGGGATGCATTCTCTCCCTCTTTCTTGCTAGCTTGTGACTAGGGTTCTGTTTTGTGTCTAGAATAGATTCACGCTAACCACTTATGTTAGGAAGCAAAAGACTCTTAATTCTTAGTTTAAAAAGGAGGCTGTGGACTTCATACCCTGCGCATGCGTGCTCCAGGAAGAGACGAGCGCGCCCTGAGCCTCCTGTTGTCTGAAAAAGACCCTCGAGGCTGGCGTGGCTCAGCAGGCCGGGCCACCACTTGCGATGCTGACGTCCTGTGTTGGAGTACCTACTGCACCTGCAAAAGTAGCAGAAGATGGTCCAAGTGCTTGGGCCCCTGCCATCTGTATGGGAGACCTGGATGGATGGAATTCCTGGTTCCTGGCTTTGGTCTGGCTCAGACCTGGCTGTTGCCACCATTTGAAGAGTGAACCAATAGATGGAAGATCTCTTTCTCTTTCTGCCTCTCCCTCTCCCTCTCCCTCTCCTTCTGACATTCTGCCTTTCAAATAAATAAATCATTGAAAAATTTTATTATCTCTTTTAAGGATTATAGCAGTGTTATGTAAAAGCTGTTAGTGCAGGTAAAAGGATTTCCAAAGACCTGTCGTACAAATTACTTTCCCAGTGACAAGCTTTGATATTTCCAGCCATCATATCAGAGTGGGGCCTCTTTAGTTGCTGGAGGGTGGGAGAAATTTAAGTGTCAATTCAAGTGTCTTTTCTGTTTTTTTTTTTTTTTTTAAGAATGATTTTTTTTAATTATTTATTTGAAAGGCAGAGTTAGAGGCAGAGAGAGAGAGAGAGAGAAATAAAAGTCTTCCATCCACTGGTTCACTCCCCAAATGGCTGCAATGGCTGGAGCGGAGCTGATCGAACGCCAGGAGCTGGTTTGGGGTCTCTGTGGGTGCAGGGGCCCAAGCACTTGAGCCATCTTCCACTGCTTTCCCAGGCCATCGCAGAGAGCTGGATCGGAAGTGGAGCAGCTGGACTCAAGCTGGCACCTATATGAGATGCTGGCACTGCAGGAGGCGACTTTACCTGCTACACCACAGTGTCAGCCCTGTAGAACGATATTCTTAAGGCTACTTTCTAAATTTTGTGCTTAAAATTATAATAAAGCATGCCAGAGAGATGTGTCCATAAAAAATAGAAGCAAAGTTCTTCTTTTGTAAAAATGAAATAAAGGGCATGTAATGTTCTTCATATAATAAATTCAATAATAACAGCTAGCTCATGTTATATAATTCTTCTATTAAGTGTTTTCTGTGGGTTTTCTTATTCTTCAGGAAAACCATATGTAGTGACTGGTGTTCTTAACCCTGTATTAGTGATGAGAAAATCGAGCCTGATCGAGTTCTTCTATTTTCTCCACTTGTCCTGTCTTGGCTGACCTCACCCTCTCCTGGCACCATGAAGAAAGTTCTGGCTTGGGTGATATGAACTGTTTTTCAACATCCAGAGTATTAGGGTGGAACGAGGAGAATCTGTCAAGGGGAGCCATGGAGCCCAGTGTCAGGCGTAGATC